CCGGCCGCACGCCCCGCAGCTTCTGCCGGCCCGGCACCTGCCACTCGCCTGTCGCACCGCCACCACCACCGCCACCGCCACCACCACCGCCACCGCCACCACCACCATCACCTGGCACACGCCCACACACACACACTTGCACCGCCTCTGCCTCCCCCCCTGCAGGCCAGGGAATTGTGTATGAGTCTCTGGATATGAGCCAGCTGCCCGACTACACTGTGGGGGGCACCATCCACCTGGTGGTGAACAACCAGGCGAGCGGGTGTGGGTGTGAGAGGGGTGGCATACCAGAGAGAGAGAGAGAGAGAGAGAGAGAGTGTGTGTGTGTGAGAGAGAGAGAGAGGCTGGCATGCCAGGCAGGAAGCCGCCTGCCCTGCCCTGCCGGCTACGCCTGCCTCAGGCTCCGCGGTCTGCCTGCTGTACCGCCCAGACGCCTGGTGTACCGCCCCCTGCTGCCTGCTGTACCGCAGGTGGCCTTCACCACCGACCCCAAGAAGTCGCGCAGCAGCCCGTACTGCACAGGTGTGCGGTACCGGTGTGCGTGCTGTGCTGTGCTGGCTGGACTGGCCCGGAGCGTGCCTGGCTGCACAGCCTGGCTGCAGCTCGCCCGTGCTGCCCTCCCTCCCAGCCCTTCCTGCTGCTGCCACCCTTCCCTAACCGTCCCCTCCCTCCTCCCCTCCCTCCCTCCCTCCCTCCCTCCCCGCCCCTCCAGATGTGGCCAAGGCGCTGGCCTGCCCCGTGTTCCACGTGAACGCCGACGACGCAGAGGCGGTGGTGCGCGTGTTTGAGCTGGCAGCCGAGTGGCGCCAGACGTGGCACGGCGACGTGGTGATCGACCTGATCGGATACCGCCGCTACGGGTGGGTGTGTGGGGGGAGGCTGTGGCGGCGGCGGATGCGGGGGCGCTGACGCAGGGGCCAGGTGGTCTGGTGTGTTGCTGGTCTGGCTGCCAGGTTCCACGCGGGGTGGGGGCGGGGCGCGGAGGGCACATCGGGCGGTGTCATGTGGCAGGAGCGTTGCGGGGCGCAGCCGGGGGGGGGCAGGCAGCACGCGCGGCGAGCACGGCGCCGCCGCCGTGCGCCCTCCCCTCGTGCCCACCCGCCCCTGCCTGCCCCCGCCCGCCCGCAGTCACAACGAGATTGACGAGCCGATGTTCACGCAGCCCATCATGTATCAGGCCATCAAGCGGCACAAGAATGCGCTGCAGGTGTACCAGGAGAAGCTGCTCAAGGATGGGTCCATCTCCAAGGACCAGGTGTGGTACTGCGGTGGTACCGTCGCTCCGCCTGCGTGGTTTGTGCGCGGGAAGGGGGACAGCCGCCTGCGAGCCCCCCCGCTGGCCTTGCTGCACCGGGCGAGGCACCTTCTGCCAGCGCACCGCTGCGCTGAGCACACGCGCCCTGCTGTCGCCCTGCAGATCCGCCAGATTGCGGATAAGGTGCAGAAGCAGCTGCACGATGCATTCGAAGGTGCCAAGGAATACAAGCCCAAGAAGGTGGGGCGGGCGGGGTGGCAAGCTGGCGGCGCGGCGTGTGCGCTGCGTGCTGGCCGCCGTGCGGGCTTGGGTGTGGCAGATGGAGCGAGGCAGTGGTGCAGGGAGGAGGAGGGGAGCGGGACAGTACTGCAGTACTCCCACTGCGTGCGCGGCTGCATGCTGGGCAGGCACCTGCGTCTGGCGCGCCTCCCCGACGCCGCACACCCACGCCGCATGCCCGCCCCTCGCCCCCGCGCCCCGCAGGGAGACTGGCTGTCCAGTTACTGGGCCGGCTTTATGAGCCCGCACCAGCACTCGCGCATCCGCAACACAGGCGTTCCCGTGGAGCTTCTGAGGGTGAGAGCCCCGAGGGCACGCGGGGCCGGGCCTGGCGCCTGCTCCGTCTGGTATCTGTAGCGTGCCAGATGGCCGCCCGCATATCTCTGGCGGCGGCAGGGTGGGGACGCCGTTGCGGCCTGCTCGCGTGGCGCCGCCCCTGCCCCTCCTCGTGCCAGTGCGCCCCCGCCTGCGCGCCGCTGCGAGCCCCGTCCCCACAAGCAACCCAGCCCCCGCTCCCGCTCACTTTGCCCTTCGCCCCACTTGCCTTCCGCCGCCCCCGCCCCCGCCTCCTTCCTTCCCTCCCCTGCCTGCTCGAGCAGGAGGTTGGGTACGCCATCACGCGCCTGCCCGAGGGCTTCACCCCTCACCGCCAGATTGCCAAGGTGTACGAGGCGCGGCGGCACATGGTGGACAGCGGGGAGGGGTTGGACTGGGGCATGGCCGAGGCGCTGGCCTTTGGCACGCTGCTGGCGGAAGGTGGGTGCGGGGGCGGGGTGGGCTGGGATGGGGCAGGGTGAGAGGGGGACTGCATGTGCTGGCGAGTGCAGCAGAAGAGGCCCGGCTGGCGCCTTCCATTTGGCGCCTCGTTTTGTCTGCCCCGCCGTGCCTTTGGGGTGCAGCTCCCCTGCCGGGCGCCCTCGCAGCTGGCGCTACCCTCCTGCGCCCCTCTGCCCCTCCCAGCCCCTCCCACCCCTGCCCCTCCATCCCCCGCAGGCAACCACGTGCGGCTGAGCGGGCAGGA